GGTTTTACTACATTATCTCAACAAAGGACAAAAGAAGAAGAAAAGGCAGGAAACAATAGCCAAGAAGGGTATTCTGGGTAAACAGTCAGATAAGTAAAAGAGACTGCATGGTTATTCTTTTTCTTCAGATGAACTGTTTATGTTTGGGGAAGGGTTTTAAAAATAATCCCTTGAAAGATTAAACTGTCTCTAAGGTCAGTTAAACACACCAGACTGCTCAGAGCTGTTTCCTACCCATGTTGCACTGGGCTCCCAGGAGCTAACCTAAGAGTGTGTTCAGTGAGATAAAAACCAGGCAGCACCGCACGCGCCCCTGGGGGGCTCCCACTAATTCCATGGTGGGGAATGGGCTTCGGCTACAGAATTCCAAATTTCAGTCTCAGTTGACTTTTAATCAACTCTGTTTCTAGTCATTGCTAACCTCGTAGCTCCAGAATATCCCGATATAACTTACTCAAGGTGCCACTGTTCTCCTTAAAGGCCCTGTACACTGCTTCAAACAGAGCCTCTGAGTCTTATCTCCTGAGGCGGCTCTAGGCAACCGATTTAACTTCCATTTTTAACACAGCCGGCTTTTATTAAGGACTCTCTAGAACCAGTCACTACGCCACCAACCTGTTCTCATGAGTCTGCAGAATAACCACGGGTACTAGCAATTGTTACCCGAATTTTAGAGAGAAGGCAGCTGAGACTGAGGGCAAACGGCTCCACCCAGGTTGTAAGTGGCAGAGCCCGAACTATGGCTGGGTCTGTCCAGCTGCGGGTCCACACCCCCCTGTGCTCATCTTCACCACGGGGCTGCTCCAGCTCCTACGGCACCACACTCCGAGGAGCTGAAGGCAAACGCGTGGTTCCAGGATGAGAAAGTGTTTAATGCAAATGGAGTCGGGCTGATTTCTAACCACATCGCTGAAACCTTGCTAAACTCACAATCAATGTGCTTAGACAACATTACGTAATAGTCAGTGTGCTGAGAGGCACACTGTCCCTCAGCCTGAGTCATTCAGGACTCGTCGTCTGGCCCCTCACAATTGCCTGTCCCTCAGACACAGACGGGGCTCTATTTTGAATTCTAATGAGAACGAGGCACACTGAATATTTAAACTGCAATTACAAAGATCCTGCTTTTGCACAGATGTTCTCACTCCAAGTAAGAGACCTGAAAATACACATAGGTACCAACAGAAAATATCAGTCTAATTTACATTTAGAAGCTGGAAAAAAGAAAATATTGTTTTCTATTTGATGCTATCATTGAGGTAGGGTTGGGTGAAGGGAGGGGGAAAAAAAACCATGCAAAGATCCCGGGGAAAATGTTAAAGCCCGGGCTCCGAGCGAGAGGTTCACAAAGAGGTGCTTGAATCCTTTGTTAACAACTGAACAAACAAATTCATCACCAGGCCCTTCTGTGTGGCCCCCTTGCAATCCAGTCTGTACTTATAACTAGAAATTTCCTCACTGCGAAAGCATCTATGACTGATGTATCCGATCAGCAAGGAAGATACGCTGAGGGCAGGGAAACAAAAGATCATTTCACGGTTCGCAATCTATTTTCGCAGTCCCTTAAGTAAAACGACGTGCCGGCTGCTCTCAGTTAAACAGGAATAGCGTGCCCTGTGAACAGCAAGCGAGTTACACAGGAGGGAGCCGCTTGATCCCCACCCCCCAAACAGTTAAGGTCTCTCTTGCTTGCAGTTTCATGTATGTATATGATTGTGTTTACATATGAAACGATCAATCTGGGCTTGCATTTGGGAAAAGCAGGTGATTAACTCCCTGCTCTGTCTTGAGTCTCCTGGACCAAGCCCCTGCCCCCAAAGGCCTTTCTTATTAAGACCATAATTGAACTTCCATGGTATCTGGCTAGGCTCTTGTAAATGCCAGCGCTGAGGAAGGGGCTATGGTTTATTCTTTTCTGATCTCTCTGGTTGATGCCCTCTTCAGCTGGTATGAAATATGTCCACTGAGTTTTTAATTTCAGTTGTTTTTTATTTCTAGAAGTTCTACTTGGTCCCTTTTCAAATGTTCTATGTCACTCTATAGTCTCCTATTCTCTGAAGATCCTTTCAAGCTTGTCATTTCTTTCTTTAAATATGATAAGCACAATTGATGTTATAATCGTGTCTGGTAATCGAGCACTGCAAGGCTGTGCAGACTGGTTTCTGTGGTCTGTTGCTGGTCCAGGCCCGTGTTATTCTGTTCCATGTATCCTAGGTATCTTTGACTATGTGCTGGTCATTGCCCTGCAAATTTTTTTTTGGTTGAATCCTAGCAACCGAGTATAAATATGTCTTTCTCCAAAGAGGCCTTTCATTGTTTTTGCCAAGTACCTGGAGCTATTACAGGTGAATCTGTCTCAAACCAAATTCAGGGTCTGAGGTTTCCTGGCCTTGCTGAGTATGGATACCCAGGGTGCAAACCAGAGGAGGGCCTTTTTGTGCCATACCTGTCAGGAATCGTAGGTTTTTCTTTTGTTTTTCTTCTATTGTGTTCAGTGCCAAGGCTGCCTTCTCTACAATTCTCAAAGGCAAGTTTCCTTCTGGTTCACTTCTATCCTAGGGTGTAGCTCTCGGGGCCCAATCATCATCATCATCATCATCATCATCATCATCTCCTGTTACATTTCCAGTTTGGAGTGAGCCAGGGACTTCACTTTTACTCTGCTTGCCTGCCCCTCTCAGGCTGTGGACGTCCCTGACTCCTGCCTGCAAAAGGGCTCTATCAGATAAGAAAATAAGACCCTAGACCAGTGATGGCAAACCTATGACACGCGTATCAGAGGTGACACGCGAACTCATTTTTTTGGTTGATTTTTCTTTGTTAAATGGCATTTAAATATATAAAATAAATATCAAAAATATAAGTCTTTGTTTTACTATGGTTGCAAATATCAAAAAATTTCTATATGTGACACGGCACCAGAGTTAAGTTAGGGTTTTTCAAAATGCTGACACGCCGAGCTCAAAAGGTTCGCCATCACTGCCCTAGACAGTACCTACGAGTTTAGAGGCTGGAAGCAAAACAACAGGTCAGGTTATGGTGGTTCCTCAGAAAAATGAAACACCATTTGACGCAGCAACTCCACTGTGGGTATATGCACAGAATATAGGCTTGACCCAACACTAGTGCACTCATGGTCACAGTGGCATTATTCACAATAGTCAGAGTCCACTAACAAAGAAATAGACAAAATGTAGTATATACATTCGATGGAACATTATCCAGCTTTAAAAAAAAAAGGGGAAGGAGATTCTGACATATGCTACAAAGTAGAGGAATATTGAAGACATTATGCTCAATGAAATAAGCCAGATTCAAAGGATGAATACTGTGTGATTTCACTTACAGAGGGTCTTAGAATAGAGACAGAGAGTAGGATGGTAATTGACAGGGGCCATGGGAGGGGGGATGGGGAGTTAGTGTTTAATGGGGATAGAGCTCCAGTTTGGGATGGTGAAAAGTTCTGGAGACGATGCTGGTGATGCTGGCAGAACCACGTCAATGTGCTTAGCACTGAAAATAGTTGCAATGGTAAATTTTATGGTATGTGTATTTTACCACAATAAAACAAAGTTTTTAAATAAAAGGTCTGGCTAATTTTGCCAAGGGCTGCTAGACCTACTCAACAAATCCCACAACATGCCTTGTGTTCAAAGGCTTAATACTGACCAATGGAAGTCTCAGAAGTTAATTGCTGGGTGTCACAAATACAAGTCTGACCCCCCTAGAGCTCCGGAGGCCACAGGCTGAGCCTGCAGGATTGTGGGAAAACTCGCACTGCTTGTCAACAAGCACATACATAATTACACGTTTCCCTTAAAAATATAAGTGCAGTACGTTTTCCTTGAGAGGTATCAGGCATCAGAAATGGTATAGGGGTAGTTATTTGGTGTTGAGCTACAACATTAATGGAGCTGCTAAGTAAATATTAGGAAAAAATTGAAGGGATAAGAGAAACTAATCTCTCTAAAGTATTTCCATTGGAAGAATAAAGAAATTTCTTCTTTCAGTACCTGACACTTGTCCTGTTGCATCTCCCTTCTGAGTCACAACATGTAATTCTGTTATAGATAATATGTTAAATGTAATATATACCTACTATATAACCACTATATAACAAATTACTAAATATAAATGAGGCATGAGATAAATTTACAGTTAACATATTTTAAGATACCAAGTTTTAAAAACATAAACATGCATTTCAGTAATTCTAGTAATCTCTAAATTTCTTCTATTTAAAAAAATGTAACAGAGTTCAGCTCAGAAGGTTTTATGGAAATTTCTGGGTATAAAAACTAACACTAGGTAATAACATAATTAAAGAAGTGGCAACAGTAGACTCTGTGACTCTATGAATGGCACATACTGAGGCCACTACATTGCAAATACAAAACTTATCAATTTGTCTATGAATATGTTCATTCCAAAATAATAGCAACATGATTGCTCATCATATAAAAAAAGACCTTGGGAAAGTTATCCCTCAATTGGGAAGAGTCTTCCCCCTTCACACATACATGACAATGCCTCATGCTTGCTCGTTGCTTACTATGTGCCAAACACTGCTCTGAGTTCTATCTATAATAATAAAAGTGTAATATTAGACAGGACGAAGCTGGGGCTGCAAGGAAAGCCCCGGTTCCGGGTGCCAGAGGGAAGCCAATGCAGCCAGGGGAAGGAAGGCCTACTCTTACACGATTTTCGTGCATCGGGCCTCTATATATCTAGATATCTGTATCTGTATCCTCTACCTCAACATCAGCTATAACTTGTATCTTTATATTAATTCATTTATTCCGTACAGCAACCCTCTCATCCCCATTGCAAAGATGAGAAGCCCGAGGCAAAGGTGAGCATGGGCTTCCCCAGGTCATACAGCTGGTGAGTGGCAAAGCTGGGTGCACATTCCAGCTACAGAGCCTGCTACCCACTGTGCTCTCGGGCCTCTCTACATAAACAGGGAAATTCAGGGAAGATGGGCAGCATCACACACATTCCAGATTCTATAGAGTTTAATTCTGATAATCAGATCATCCACTTTTCACCACTGAGGAAACCAAGGCTAAGCAGGATTAAGTTTATACAGAAATCAAAGAGGATAAGAGAGGCAGGTGGGAGCGGACCCACATCTCTCTGCCTCCCAGGTTTCAGGGTCATGTGCAGAGAAGTTATGTGAAAAGGCTGGGAAGGCACCGTGGAGGCGGCTGGGCATCTGGCAGGAAGAAGGAAGCTCATGCCTCAGGAACAGAAGCACAGAGTGGGTTGGCGTCTGATGGATGAGAACTGGGGGTGGAGGGAACAGGACAGGTGAGAAGAGGGGAGCAGGTCGGCCCCTCAGTTTCCCTTCTCCCGAGGTTCTGGGTCACTAGCTGCCTGGTCCTGCCTCAGCCTGTGCTAGACTTCCGCTTAGCCAGTAAGTAACACGGGGCGGACGGCCATGCTTCTCAAGGTGAGGTCTCAGGTGAGCCTTGCACAGAGGTCTCTGTTCTAAAACGAGGTAGATCAGAGGGATCCATTATATTTTTCGTGTTGAAAGGGCTACAAGTTAGGCTAAGCATGTCCCCGAATCAATAGTTGCTTGTCATGCTGTATTTCCATTTACAATAAAAGCATCAGCTCGATACACTTGGTGCACCTTTGCGGGATGGAGCACCGGCGACAACCACTGTGACTGCCCCACTGTCCCCACCGCGTATGAGCACCGACCTCTGTCTGACAAGGCATAGGACGCAGGCCACGTATAATGTAAACCGCATGAAATCTGCATCAGAACCTCGAAGAACACCAAGTACCTGCATCAGAACTGCTTGGCATTCCTGTTACATAGGGAACGCCCTTGAACCCTGACCTGCGCCCACTCAATCAGCCTTGAAATCACTCCGAGTGACCCTCATCTTGGCATGTGAACCCCCATTTTACTTACAAGGTATTAAGAAGTAAAATGATTGCCAAAGATGACATCACCAAATACAGGATTTGAACTCACTTGAGCTTCAGAACCTGGGCCTGTGTCTGCTCAGGAGTTCTACCTTCAACAATTAAGCTTTGATTCGATTACAACAAGGCACAGCAGTGAAAGAGATGGCCTTGAAAACCCAGAGCTCCACCACCACCAATCCGCACGCTGTCACACAGTTTCCCAAACGATTATTCTCTCCAAGCACACAGAAAGGTTCCTTCTTTTAAATTTTAAAAAATCAATGCATTTTACTTCCCCTGAACTCATAACAACTCATTTCAGTTGAGCAAGACCTGGGTTATCTGTTAGCAGTCTGTGCCTCATCCGATGGGGCTGCCGTTTTAGAAGCGCAGCCAAACCTGCAGTAATTAGACAAACGTGGGAAAGCCAAAGCAGAGGCGACCGCACGCGGGCGAGGCGGCACCCTAACTGCACCCTCGCTCACCACAGGACGCTGACTTTCTGTCCACCAGAGTCACACGCCGGGTTTCAGTGCGGAGCCTCTCGTCTGTGTTCTCCACCAGGTTGGCGAGGTCATCGATGATCTCTACAAAGGAAAACAAAGATGCGCGGTTAATACTCCAAAATACCCTGGTCACGTCAACGCAGCAGAGCTGCGGGGGCCTTCCCAGGAGCAATTCTCCCAGTGCAGCCAGTGAAGAGGCAAAAACTCATGTGTGTTCTTTGAAAACTGCCATTTTGATTTTAAAAAAAGAGGCGGGCACTGGAATGGTAAAGAACAACCTGGTTTAACACAATAAACAGAGGAGACATGTCACAAGTTCGGGGGGAAGGAAGCATGACCCCAGAGTGAACACAGCCAAGTTGTCATTCATGTGCTCAAGGTGACAGACAGGGCAGGAGACTTCAGGGACAACTGGGGTCCTTCTTAGAGAACTGCTTGATGGTGAAATCTAGTCACTGAGAATGGAGAAGCCAGAGACCCTGGCACAGAGGAGGGTGAGAATGGCATCCATCTGAATACTGAGCAGAGAAGAAACAGACGCGTGGGTTAGGTTACAGAAAGGAGGTGCGATTACCACTGGAAACCAGGATGCGCTGGGGGAGAGGAAAAGAAACTGAAGGTGCTATTCTTCATCACTCACAGCAGAGCCCTATTAAGCTGTTAAAAAGTAAGATATGTAGTAACTTATAGCTTTATAAAATCACCAAAGCTTCAGTATTTTATGAAATGTTAGATGGATTTTTTGGTAATTACTCTCTCATAAAGAATCCTTTATGTGGTTTGTCTTTTTATTTTTAACACTAATCTTTTAAGAGTGAAATTAAGCACTTCACATTTAAGATAGCATATATATATAGTATGATCCTAATTATGTAAAAATATTTCGATCTATCTTTTTATCTATAAACCAAGAAGGATATATCTGGATTATTTCTAGGTGAGTAGACAGGACAAAAAGAATATAAATACCTAGATGGCAGACTTAAACCCAACTATATTAGTGGTCAGTTAAATATAAATGGAAAAACTGCTCAATGAAAAGACAAAGAATGTCAGGCAGGCAAGATTTTTTAAAAAGACAACACAATTATGTGCTTTCACAAGAAACTCACTTTAAATATAAAGCATAGAAAGTGTTTGCGTGAGAAAGCTGGCATGGTTTTATTAATATTAGACCAGACAGACCTCAAGCCAAGGAGTATGATCAGATATAAAAAGGACATTTTCATCATCAGGAAAGAATACATGTGACAAAAATGGGAAAATCCCTAGTGTCTGAATAATAAGGAAACTGCCTGTAAATAATCCATGGGATAAGAATCAAATCACAAAAGAACATAGAAAATGTTTTGAACTAAATGATAATGACAATCCAAAATAAAAGTTTGTGAAATGCAACTAAAGCAGTGCTGAGAGGGAAGTTTATTGCTTTAAACACATATATTAGAAAAGAAGAAAGGTGTAAAAATCAATGATCGGACTAAAGGAGATAATCATATGATCATATCAATAAATGTATAAAAAGAATTAGACAAAATGCAGTGTTCATTCATAACACAAAATCTCAACAAAACAGGAATTAAAGGGAGCTGCTTCAACCTGATGAAGGACAGCTATGAAAAACTTAGAGGTAACATCACCCCTAATGGTGAACACTGAACACTTTCTCTAAGGTCAGGAACAGGCAAAGACATCTGCTCTGACAACCTTTGGTGAATATTTTATCAGAAGTCCTACACTGTTTAATGAGGAAAAAAAAGGCAAAAAGATTTAAAAGGACGATGTAAATATGTATACCTAACATGACTGTGTACATAGGGTAATCTATGAAATCTATCATAAAGTCACTATAATAAGTTAATATAACAAGTCCACAGATACCAAATCAATTGTAAAGAGTAATATATTTCTATATAATAGTGACAAGCAACTGGAAAATGAAAGTGAAAAACAGTATCATTTAAAATAGCACCAAAACTACATCAAATACTAGAAATAAATCTAACAAAAAGTGTGCAAGACCTCTATGCTGAAAACTAAAACATTGTGGGAGAAATCAAAGACCTAAATAGTTGGAGAGTTATACCATGTTCATGGATTGAAAGACTCAATATTTTAAAGTTATCTGTATATTCTCCTCAATTGATTTATAGATTTAGTGCAATTCCAATCAAAATTCTAGCAGGCTTTAAAAATGAAATTGGCAAGCCAATTTAAGATGTGCATGGAATACAAGTGATTTAGAATTGCCAAAATAATCTTAAAGAAAAAATTCAAGATTTGTTATAAATATATAATAACCAAGATACTGTGGTATTGGAATATGTATAGACAAATTGATCAATGGAACAAAACAGAATCCAGAGATAGACCTTGTGTGTGTGTGTGTGTGTGTGTGTGCGCACACATGCGCGCACACACACACACCTACAGATGCATTCCATTAATTCTCAACAAAGTTGTCAATCACAAAATCAGTCAACTAGGGAAAGAAAGATCTTTTCAACAAATGATGTTGTGACAACTGGATATCTGTATGGGGAAATGAAAATAATCATGACCTTTTCTTCCTACTATACAAAAAAAAAAATTGACTTGAGGTGGTTCATAGATCTAACTGTAAAACCTAGAATTGTAAATCTTCTAGAAGAAAAAATAGAAAACATTCATGAACTAGGATGGGCAAAAATTCTTGGACAGAACCTAAAAAGGCTATTCACAAAAGACCAAAAAACTGGTCAACTGGACTTCATAAAAAATTTTTTCTGCTCATCCCAGGATGCCATTAAGAAAATTAATAAACAAACTACAGGCATAAAAAGGCTATTCACAAAAGACAAAAAAACTGGTCAACTGGACTTCATAAAAAATTTTTTTCTGCTCATCCAAGGATGCCATTAAGAAAATTAATAAACAAACTACAGGCTGGTAAATACTTACGGGCCATATATCTAAGTATTTGTATCTAGAATACATAAAGAACTCCTACATATTAACAGTGAAGACACCAAACAAACCTAATTTTAAAATAGGCAGAAGATCTGAACAGATGTTTGTAAAAGGAGATGTGCAAATGGCCAATACGCACATGAAGAGGAGCTCAGCGTCATTAGTCATTAGGGAGCTGCACATTCAAACCACGGCAAGTACTACTGCATACCTATCAGGGTGCTAAAATTAAACACTTCAGTGCTAATTATTGGGGAGATTTGGCACAAAGGTAATCGTAGGAGTGTTTGTCAGTTTAATCAAGTTAACCAGACACTGATCCAGAAATTGCACTCCTAAATATTGCCAAACAAAAATTTAAAAAGACCTGCACAAAAATATACATAACAGTCTTATTATATAAAACAAAACAAAAAAAACAACTAGAAACAACCCCAATATCCATCAGTGTGAAGAATGAATAAGCAAATTGGGATTTGTCTGTACAATGGAATACTACTCAGCAATGAAAACAAAGAACTATTTATAAATACAACAACTGTATAAATCTCAAACTCATTTTGTTGGCTAAAATAAGAAAAGAAAATCAATATGTACTTAGTGATTCTATGTATACAAAGTAGAAAGTTAAACCTAATCCATTGGATAGAAATCAGGAGGTAGTTGCCTCTGGGGGTAGAGGGATTGACTTAAAAGGGACATGAGAAATTTTCCAGATGATAGAAATGTTCTAAATAGTCACACAAATGTATACAGTTGTCAAAACACATAGAACTGAACACTAAGTATCTGTGCATTTTGTTGTATATAAATTATACATCAATTAAAAATATAAATCAGAAAAAATAGAAGTTTACAATATTATGATATTCCTAAGATTTTTTCCGGAAGGAAGGTAGACAGGGGTACATACATGGATGCTGGGAAGACAAAGCAAATGATTATAACAAAATTTTAGAGCAGCAAGAGGTCATGGGATCATCTCATTGCTCCCTGCCTTTTAAGATACCCTGGCAGTGGGGTGGTTAATTTCTTGCTGAACATTCCCAGTGGCTGGTAACATGGAAACTCATGAGAAAATTAGCTCTATGGCTGAGCTGGAGGGTGACTAGTTATTGTAAGGTTCTGTGTATTGAGCTGAAAATCTGCCTACCTTCAATGTCTACTTTAGTTATTGCTAGAACAACACAAGCCCAGTGTTCTCCCACAAGACAGTTCCCCTCATATCTCTTCTAGGCTAAAGACACTTAGCTCCAAACTTTAGCAGATCCTCGGAGGAAGGGATTTGTAGATTGGTGACACCTTGATGCTTTGGGCACGGTATTCATCCTGAAATGTATGCAAAGACTTGGATACATGGGTTCAACTTTGTCTAGTCCACAAAGAACACAGCTGAGTTTATTTTAATAGCACACATACAAGTGGATATTTTTATGATCCATTCCTCATGTCCTATCAGGATATTCCACAGTAACACATGTCCTATCAGGATATTCCACAGTAACACCTGTGCTTCCGATAGGTGCTTGGTACATTGTTCTCACGCTACCAATTACGGTCAGAATTTCATGACACGCTCTATGCTGCAATATGTGACACAACACTCAGGCTTAATCAACCTTTGTCACGACGAGAAAGTCAAGCACAGAATAATCCTTGTCTGATGCTAAGTATGTCAGCTGTTATATATTCACTGTGTTTATAGATAGATTTTAAAAATCTGTAAGTATTCATTACTTAGAGGTCAATAAACTTTTTGTAGCAGATTAGCTCAGCAAAAATCAGTAATAAACACTGAGGAGTTACTACCTCTTCTGATTACTAGTTTGTTGTTTTCTGTTTTTATTTCTTTTTTAAAAAACCCTCTATTTTTAAGTTATGAAAGTTACTTAATTGAAGTTTATAAAGGAGAGGGGAGAAAAGTAAAATATTATCGAAATGCCCCGGTAACTACCTTTATGTGTTCCCTTCTAAGATTTTCCATAAACACATATTGTTTATAAACACAAACAGTGAACAAAGAGTTTTTCTTGCGGGTATTCATTGAACGCCCTCTATTTCCTATATTTGCAATATGTAAGTCTTTTGCCCCATGAACATATCATTTGTACTTTTTCATGCTGCTATACCTC